CCCCCCCACCCCCCCCCCCCCCCCCCACCCCCGCCCCCCCCCCCCCCCCCCACCCCTCCCCCCCCCCCCCCCCCCCCCCCCCCCACACCACCCCCCACCCACCCCCCCTCCACTTCTGATTTCCGGAGCTCAACTTTCTCGCGTTTGTGCCTTATGTCCTTTTGAACGCATCGTTACAAGAATTGATGCAGATTGGCGTCATGTTCTAGTTCGATTGAGCCGTAATTCAATATATCGTGTGCTACACACGTTACACTGTCTAGATCGTCAACAACTTGCAGTAACCGCTTTTGAAAAATTTCGTTTGAAAGCTAAAGACAAAATGGTAAACGTGGCAAGCCAAAACGCCGAAAGAGTGTGGCAAACGTCGTCAGGAAACTGGCTTCCTCATCTAGAACCACGTGCCAAAACGCTGATGAGAGATCAACTTTGGTGAAATATTTCGCCCTAGCCGAACGCGGCAGGACATCTAACCTTAACATTTTATAGTCTTCTCTACGCAAAGCTTCATTCAACGGCTTAGGATCTATGCACAGACGCAAATCACCGTTCTTTTTCGTAACAATCGCGACTTGGTTAATCCAGTCGGCGCGCTCGTCGCCCTTAACGATTACGCCCGATTGCATCAGGTTACTTAATTCGGTGGCGAACTTATCACGTAATGCAAACGGAACCCTTCCAGCTGGCATCGCAATCGGTCCTATTGACGAATCTATTGACAAATGAACGGAACCTTCAAACCTCCCCAAATCTGCGTTGAACACGGACGGATACTGTTCACTAACATGTTTCCGCTTCACATACATGCACAAAACGGTCATAGTTAAAGTGAATAAAGCCAAGACATTAGTTGGCATCAATGCCGAGAATCAGCATGAGCTCTTCCTCCACGACCACGAATTTTAACGGATGTGAAGAGGCGTCTTTGGGATTGATCAGTTCCATTGTAGCCAAACCTTTCGACTGGAGCTTGGAGCCATCCTACTTGCGCACACGAATTCCTGGGCACCGCTTCGATGGTATCATGTTTATGGTGGCACCCGAGTCCAACTGGAAAAGCACCATTCCGTCACCAACCAGTAAACTTGCATAGACTCACTTCTGTGGTCCTGCCCTCGACGCGTTGCTGATTGAATATTCCGAGTCTGAGGGTGTTGTGTCATGCTTGAGTGCGTTCTCCTTCGAAGACTGGCAACATCGAGCGAAATGAATCCGTCTGCCGCATTCGGCGCAAATTCGGCCCCACGCCGGACATTGATTGCAATTCTTCGGGTGACGCGCGGCGCAGAATTCGCAAGTTTCGTATGCCTTTATAACTGGCTTCGCAGGTTGTCATGTTAACTGGAAACGGCACATAGCTCTGCTTCAAACGGCAGCCGCATTTTCTGGATGTGGTGTGCAGCTGTTGATTCACTGTGGCATATATCAAGACATTGTCTGAGCGATAACTGTCGTTGCTGCAACAGCCGCTTGGTGATGTTTTCATCATTGATTCCCAGCACAATTCTATCTCGGATGAGACTGTCAGCCATACAGTTGCAAAATTACATGAATGAGCCAATGTCTTCAACTCCGTAACATAGTTATCGATAAATTCGTTTGGGCGCCGGTTTCGGGTAAAAGGGATACACCGCTGATAGATCCCGTTAGTCTGACCATCGCAGAAATCACCGAATTTTCAGACGACAGTTTCCAGATCAGCTGGGTTTTCGTGCTGCAACGTTCGCAAGACGCGGCGTGCTTCATCTCTGATCGTAAGTCTAAACATCGCCAAACGATACGCCGTCGGTTGTTCATCCAGCCGCACCGGTACACAGAAAGCTACCCACTTGCCTTTCCAGATTCTCCACTTGTTGACCAAATTCTGTTCTTCCTTGTTTAATGGGGCAGGTGGTTGCACAGCTGCTTACGTCCCAATCAGCAACTGAGCACCATTGGGTGATTGAACTTGGCTTAGTCTACTCTGACACCATGTCGCAGAACTCCATCTTTCAAAGACAAACGGTTTATTCGGCAAAATGAAGCTTATCGAAAATGACAGCCTGAAAAGCATGTAGGAACCTCGATATAAATAACTAAGTCGCCGATGTTTTCATGGACATGCTGGAACAAGGAAAGCTAAGCCAACGATCTCAAGTCTCGGTTTATATTGCCGTCACGTAGACGACATTTTTCTCCTGCTTTAATTGTCTCGATGTATCGAGGAACTAACAAACATGTTCAACCAAGGCCATCCAACAATAAAGTCCACCTGCGAAATTGAGGAAAACAGTCGCTCTCATTTCCTCGATATCGCCATGAAAAGATGTGGTGGTGCGCTGCAGCGTTGCGTCTATAGGAAAAGTACGTGGAATGGGCAGTACACAAACTTCCACAGCTTTGTACCACTTAGGTTTAAACAGAACTTGATTCATAATCTAATGAGCCATGCTGAGCGTATCTGCTCAAACCAATCAGCGCATAGACGATATATGCGCAGGCGTCCAATCAACTGTTCTGTTTGCTTGCGTCACGCTAGTCGCTTTTTTGCACAATCCTGACCACCGGGCATGGAGTCAACCCTGATGAGTCATTCACAATCCTAATGCGCGATCCGCTGCCCTACATTTTTAGGCTACTGCGGGCGATCGTTATCGTTCACGAACGACCACTGCTGTGCACTCAAAAACAGTTCACTATAACTGTAAGCCTACGGTGGTAACGCAAGCACTTGGACACCTGTGATCTCACCTGGCGTGGACGACATCAAACCGAAGACCTTGAAGACAGCAGCTATGAACTTTGCCGAACCATTAGCTCCGTTCTATCAACGTTGTCTCGACGAAATGCAGGTTCCGACAATGTGGAAAAATGGACTAGTGACTCCTATTTACAAAAGTGGTAATCGTTCGGAGCCCTCGAACTACCGTCCAATCACTCTCCTCCCAGTTTTATCCAAAGTAATGAAACGTATAATTACAGTGGCGCTCATGGGATATCTTGAGAGCAACAACATCCTAGTGTCACAGCAACACGGATTCCGCCGAAATCGATCCTGCCCTACAAACTTGCAGCTAGCCCGAGCAAGCTGCACAGAGTCAGCCGATGCCAGAGTAGGAGTCGAAAGCGTTCTATCGTTTGGACCACCGCGTTCTCCTGCACAAGCTTCGAAGCTATGGAATCGGTGACCCTATACTCGGTTAGATCGGCAACTTCCTCGCTCAACATCAGCTGAATGTGAGAGTCCGCAGCTCCATTTCCGACTCAATTGACCTCCAGTGTGGCGTGCCTCAGGGATCCATACTGGGGTCATCTTTATTCCTCACATTCATTAACGATCTTGGCAGTGTACTGCAGTCGAATTTCTTACTATTTGCAGATGATCTCAAAATTTGGCATGACATCAGGACATCGGATGATCACATGGCATTGCAGAGCGATCTCGACAGGGCTTATGCGTGGTCATCTGACAACCGGCTCCAGTTCAACGTGACCAAGTGCAAAGTCGTAAGCATACGCCATCAGCTTATCTATGAATATCGACTTGGGGACCAGCAGTTACAACGTACTTCCCAAGAAAACGACCTCTTGGTGCTTGTGCAGGACGACGTTGGTTGCTCGATACAGTCTGAAAAGACTTCAAAAAGAAACAGTCAACATTTTGAACTCTTACGGAAGGCTTTCGGCAATTTTGAGCCATCAATCTTTCCGCAAATGCTGAACACCTACGTGAGGCCTCACGTGGAATCTGCGGTCCAGGCCTGGCATCCCTGGCGCAGGTGCGATGTCGATGCGCTTGGAGCTGCGCAACGTAGAGCGACCAAACTCGTTGGAGGATTCTTTCATCACTCTTATCAACACAGACTGCAGTCCCTGAGATTGTACAGTGGTGCATATCGACGTCAGCGAAGAGATCTAATCCTGATTTACTTAATATTGATGAACCCAGCTCACCCATGTTGCAATCTGTTGCAGCTGAGCTGAAATACCAACCTGACACGTCATCAGCTCAAATTGGCTACGCACTACGACTTGATTATCGACGAAACGTTTTCTTCCTCCGTGTGTCCCGTGCCTGGGATGCCCTTCCGGCTCACGTTATCCTTGCCCCTACATTAACTCTTTTCAAAAAACGCCTTAATGAAACGCTTTCCAACTTGCATTACTTGATATAGTCTGTTCCACTTGGACGACGAAACAACCCAAACCTAATCATGTGTTTAACGGCCCTCTCCGCAACATGGCGGTGAGGATACAAGCAGAAGTGTCCATATGATTAGCCCGGATGTAGCTAAACTTGATTAACCTATCACATCTGTAAGTGAAGAAACAAACGAGTGAGCCTTGTCGTTTCCTTTTTTATTTCTCACGCACTTTAACAGCTCTATAATAGTTTGCCTGGACACATCCCATTCCCACTTCAAACTATCATTATGCAGTAGTACATTTAACTCGGTGGACGCTTGAAATAACCATTTACTTATTCGATGATCCTACAACTTTTAATTTTTACTCTATCTATCCTACGGGACTTGTCAAGCACATGCTTTTTTACCCGTGATAAATCGTTGTTCATCTCCTATGACATCTTTTGCTTACTCATCCCAGTTGTATGTTTCCGATGGACAAAAAATACGAAGTAGTGACGTCATCTCACAAACTACGTCTTCTTATTTCCCTTTCGGAATTATATCAGAAATTTCTTGTTTCATATGTGATATAATCGGATGTTCATATGTCGACACTACTTCATCACTTGACGATTCGGATGGGCAAAGCACCCTGCTAGGGCAGAATCTGACTTAACTTTCACAGCTCGGATGTCCTTGGCGATCGATGAGCCGCACCATTGGGCACGTCTAGCTCGAGACTTCATCTTCCCCTTGTGTGACCCAATCGTTCAGGAAAGCTGACACATGGCTGCTACCGCATGGTGGTTACTTCACCGCCGAACACACAAGAGATAGGCTGCGATGTGTCACTCAGCGTTGGGTCAAACCTAACCGCCTGCTTGGTGTAAAAGCCAGCAGTTCGTCATTTAGTGTAACATTCCACTGTATTACTTGATCCTCTGCGATTTGACACTTCATTCACCTCATTAACATTGAAATGACCGGTGGGAGTTTTGCGGATTGCTGATTCTTTGCATCTAATTTGTCGTTTCGATGTGTGCTTTTTGTTTGATGTACATATGAATTACGTCGATTCGCGCATCAATTCTGGCATATGCAACGCATTCGTTGCCATTACAATCGCTAATCTATTGAATACATCTTTGGAGTTTTGACTCGTTCCTGCAAATGACTTTCTAAAACTGCGTTCCTTACTGACGTCTGGTTTAGTGGCCGATGCCTTCTAGTTGCCGCACCTGATGATGGAACCCGCCCTATTATGTTCCCTCTAGTACGGGCTATTTGTGACCCTCTATTTCATGTGGGTATCAGACCGCCTTTCGAAAGCTGCATCTTTCTTCATAACATAATAGCCTATAACTAATTTTTACGTATCCTGATAACCGATGTACAGTCCCCATGCGTGAAGGCGATTTGTACACAGAAGTGGTGTTTTGGTTTTCGTCACGAATTTTCTAAACCTCTCCTGTATAACAGAATGACAGTGGGATATCATCCTGACACTGAAATGTAGCATGTATAACACTGCGGTAAGGCTGGTCTTACTCTATGAATCGGAGACTTGGCCAGTTTGCGGCGAAGACATTTATTGCCTGGCTGTCTTTGACTACCGGTGCTTGCAGAGTATTACTCACGACTGGTGGGAACACCACGTGAGCAATGCTGAGGTCCGCCAGTTGGTTTTAGGAAGATACCTTCTGGTTCTCCACTCTAGTTTTTACTGAATCTTAATCGCTTACGTTGTCTAGGCCATGTCCACCGTATGCCCGTTGATCATCTTCCTCAGCGTGCATTATACGCCATGGCTTCACCAAGTTGGACGAAACCGCGAGATAGCTAGTCCATGATGTCGCATAGGATCCTGAAGAAACTGAGCGAGATACTTAGTCAGTCAGGTGCATGCCATCTGCATGGATGGTTCACACCAATGGTTGGAGATCCTATCAGACATGGTACAGTCACACAGTCAACGTCGTTCCTGCATTCGTTTTCTTTCATCTAGTTGTTAATTTTCATTCCATTCTGATTCGTCTAACGCATTTCCTTCTCGCTTCCATTTTTCTTACATTCTACTTGCATTTATCCACACTATCTTGCCGTTATTATTTATTGTTATTCTTGTGATGTATGTCGTGGCAACTGGATCTACCGCACCTCGGTGCTTGGATCATAGTTGTTCAACCAAATAACTAAACTCACTAACTGTATAACAGAATTAATCTATAGTTTTTCAGATCAGTGACCCAATCACTTGCAACGCGTCTATTCAGTAAGAATGTTTGTACCAGTGTTTTCAGCTTTGTAGCGAAACTCCGAATCAGTCAATCATTGTATCGCATTATGCATTCTGTCGACCAATGTGTCTCACAGACTACGGAGTGAGGGACTGTACGTTTTGTCGGTGGCGGATCCGGCAGCTCACAACCACGCTACTCGGCTACCTGGATTCCCACGCAACGCGGTGTTGCATCTAAGCATATTCGAGCATGTCTTGGAGGCTTGCAAATTAGTCTCATTTGTTGCGTCATTGTTTCTACTGTTTTTCCAAAGTGTTTTTCGGCTGCATGAGCGTTACTTTTTTCAAATCGCCTTTTCATGCTTTTTGTAGCCCCCCACTTTCTAGAAGTTGCACCCAAGCACTGTTTTGTGTGAACAAATTGTGCAGTTTTTCTTACTCTTATTGTGACCACTGTCCCCTGATTGCCTGTCAGCTGATGGTTGGCAATTTAGGCGCGAATAAGCCTGTTGTTTTACTGGCTTATTTATTTCCTGTTTTTTTCCATTCGCTCCTAAATGTCTTACACGCTACTCCAACATCGCTACTGCCTAACACCGTTGCTTTTTATTACTTTCTTCCCTGTCCCAATAGCCGTTCGGTTTTGTATCCTCACCGTTCCGTTTCGTTATTGCTTTCAGAGAAATTTGGTGTTCCACGAGAAGGTGGCGAACCGGGTGAGCGGTGTATACCGGCCACTTATCGCCTATTGTACTTCATCGGATGGAAACCGGACCCCTCTCAGGTTAGTCTCTCACGTCCTTTCTTTTATTGCTGATTGGATAGATTGGCTTATGAAGCCATTATCTTCCGCGCCTCTTATTCCGACCACTAGTCTCTATTCTCCCTACGCGATGAGTGCCGCAGTCATTTTGTGAAGAACACTGGCTAGATGATCTTCGATTAATTTTCGCTAGTTGTCTCCCACACGACTTCCTTACTGTATGGTAGTGTTCGGTCGATGATACGCCCACCTTGACTGAGATGTTTGGCTTTTCGATTGCGCGAAGGACTAAGAAGAACAGAGATGAGCTGCCAAGTGTATGATAGCTGAACATGCGATGTTTCAGGTGGAAGCTTATACAACTACTTCACCGATTCGATAAACGGTTTCTTATCCGCACTGCCCGGAATTCAATACACGGTAAATCTCCGTTAATGCACGAAAGACGTCAGCAGTACGCCAGTATGCAGGCACGACGCTTCGATTCCCCGCAATCACCACCAGTCACACGTGAGGGTCGCTCGGTCTCCTACGCGGCCGTGAACTCCCGCCCTCAGATTTCGAGGCATGCTTGTGATCCTTACGGCCACGGGTTGATAATACAAAGAGAACCGTTGCAGTTACGTGATTGGCGGGAGCAGGCCTAGTCTTCGATTTATGGCTTTTGGGGTGTCTGGATTGTAATTCACAGAAACACTGAGGCCACTGAGTGAAACGCCACATGTGTCCGATTCATCCTGAAATCTCATTCCGGGGCTACTAATAATCTGTGCTCCTTTTTGCTTTTCACTCGTGTTTTTTATGGATCGCTACTTTTTCGCTGAGGAAAGCGCACTTTACCGTCAACTTCCCCTATCAGTTAATTGTCTGTATATGCGGATGTCATGCTGTAGGCTGCCGACAAGAATACTTAAATATGACAATTGTCGGAATCCGATCTCCGCCTAGCGGTCCGTTTCTATGTTTGTGCTTACTGCGTTGAAATTGGCATGCGTTTACCCCGAGTTACTCCACCCCCACATTCCCATTAGCTGCAGATGACGTGTGTTGTGCTACCTTATTAGTAAGCCTGGTGCACTCGTCCGGATTATGTCCCTGTGATTCTCGCACAATCTACTGGAACTGTGCAGCAATCTGTGAAGTTATTTTTTGTTGCCTATTCTGGAGGTAACAGTCTCAAACTGAGTGCGAATGTCACCTGTCATTGGCCGGTAGTCGAAAGGGTTACACAACGGTTCTAATCCGTGTAGGTGTGGGCGATGTTGCGGTATATCAGCATGGCAGCGAAGCGTCGGTTCGGTGTGCCGGCTTACTATTGATGTGTCACGCGCTACCAAACGGTGGGAATAAACTAACTACTGATTTGAATTCCTTCCATTGCACGATGGAATGGCCTTCGGCTTCGATTGTTTGCCCGATTTCTAACATCTGCATTGTGAACACACTCCCAAGGCGTCAGTTTCAGAAATTCCAGGACGTCTTTAAACGACCTCCGACTAAATTTCATGACTCACCTGCATTGCTTGTTAACCAATCTGCCTCTGCAATGGTAAACACCGGCGGCTGAGCACTAGGTTCACTGATCCCAGCAATCAAGTGGAAATGTTTCCAGATTCCTTTGATCTATTCCCAATTCCATCGACCTCGATCTTGTACAGGAGGTTTCAGAGAGCATCCCAGTTAGCCCACCATCTCATCCTTTTATGATAGATCTCTGATTCATTAGGTTCAACGGTTTCAGTACCCTCTTTCGTATCAGACTCGGCTGAAAAACTAACAACAGCAAATGCAACAGGTACTTCGTTAACTTAAACGAAAGGGACTGTATTTTGCCCGTGGTAGTCAAGGAGCACGAGCCTAGCTAAGCGTTATCCTATCGATGTTGAAGTACAATCTTGTTTTTGATTCCGAGAATGCACTTTAATCGTTACTAAAGAACAGCAGCGGTTCCCTGGGTTTTAATCGAATCAACGCGATCCACCATCGTGTATAAGTGAAGTGCTTTCCGAATGGCAGTTTTCGACCGACATCCGCTGTCGTGGGGCGACACTCGGAAGTTGATTGTCCTTTATAAATTACCTACCTCAGTGGTTCATTGATAGTACTAATAACCATCACATGCTATGACCTATTAGTCCACCTCGTCAGTGCCACAACCTAGTCGTTCCTAGCCGAAGACTCCCCGGATGTCTCTTGGCTCGAGTTCGTAAACAATTTCAATCGGCTGGTTACAGATGCTTCAGAGACAAAAGTTTGCAAACGGTCAGAAACAGTTACTTACGTAAGGAGCAGAACTCGAATATCGTTGGCAGTACGCAACGTAGCGTGGCGAGAGTACGGCTTATCCCCAACACCAACAAGCTGGGATAACTACGTAGCCCAACGAAAACACTGCACTTAACTGTACAGAGCGAACAAAGCCGCGCGTCAGCAGAACATGGCAAAAACCTTCAGCACCAATCACAAACTGCTGTATAAGCGCGTCAGTGGTCTACGGAAGGCGAGGCAAGGGGTTCCGCTACTCACGACGGCAGATGGCCCAACACGAACGGCTACGGAAGCGGCAAACAGCCTTCGGATGCAATATGCCCCTACCTTCCTTAGAGTATTACTATCAGGAGGTCCTTCAGGTTTTATCGCCCCGCCGCCGGGATTCACTCACATCTTTACCACCGAAGCTGTCTTGCAGAAGCTGACCACTCGACGCAACCACAAATCCTCGGGTGTCGATACTCTTCGACCAGAGGCCATATAAATAGCAGAGCCACTGGCTCAGTTCTTCCAGCGTTGCTTAGACCAGAACCAAGTTCCTGCCATGTGGAATCTTGGAATAATAGCACCCATTCACATTGGTGGAGGCAGAACTGAGGCTTTAAACTACCGCCCAGTTTCCCTTCTCCCTATACTGTCCAAGGTGCTGGAATCCATTACAACCGATGCGCTGGTGAGCTATTTGGAAAACCAACATTAATTCTAAGCATCACGACGCGTCGAAATCGACCGTGCACAACGAATTTATTAATAGCACGGAGTAGCTGGACCCACTCAGCGGACCCTGGAGAGAATGTTGATGTGATCTACCTGTATTCCTCAAAAGTTTTCGACCGTCTAAATCATCGGATACTTCTTTCCAAGCTACAGTGTTACGGGATCGGTGACCCTCTTCTAAGCTGGGTCGCCAGCTACCTCAGCGGCAATTAGTGGTCAAAGTTTCAAGCTCTTTCGCTGACCCCATACTAGTTGGATGTGATGTGTCTCAAGACTCGGTGCTCGTTCCCTATTGTTTTTGGTGTTTATTAAAGACCTCACACAGGCAAAAACCTCTAACTTCTGCTGTTTGCCGATGACGTCAAGATTTGGCGCAAGGTTTAGCGGAATACTGACCAACAAGTGCTTCAGAGTGATCTAGGTACGACATATCAGTGGTCCATCCAAAATTCACTGCAATTCAATGTGAGTAAATGCAAGGTGCTCTCCATATGACACCAGAGCAACCACTGTTACAGGCTCGGAACGCATATGTTGCACCGAGCTGCCACTGAACGTGATTTGGGCCTACTGGTTCAGGATGATCTGGCAATCCGCGAAATCCTCCAGAACTGGTAATCAACATGTGGGCCTGTTACCACGGACTTTCGGACAAACAGATCGTTTTAGTTTCCGGCAGATGCTTAATGCGTATGCTCGTTCTCATGTCGAGTATGCACTTCAAGCCTGTCCCCCATGGCTAAAACACTACCTTAGTGCATTGAAGCAATCCCAATCCCAATGTCAAGCATCAAATCACCTTATTAGAATGCACCATCTTGCATACGATTAGAAGCTGGAACCATTGGGGATATTCAGCGGACGTTATCGCCACTTACGAAGTGACTTGATAATGGTGTACTTAATACTGCACGATCCACACCATGTGTGCCGCTCTTTACTGCAACCCAGCAGTAATATGAACTTCAGAGGTCACTCACTAAAACCGGCAGCACAGTTCAGCCGCCTGGATTGCCGCAGGAATTTCTTTCCCGTCCGCGTGTGTCACCCGTGAAATGCTCTTCCAGAATCGGTCATTTCTACACCATCACTATCCATATTCAAAAGAAGTTTGGATGACTCATTCACTCACCTACACTTTGTTACCTAGTACTCCACCTCCATCCCACTCCTGGAATATAATTTAGATTATTTCGCTGTTGCATGTTTGTGCTGTGAAACTACACGGATCACAGGATTACAACGAAACAAACGATAAGTCATTCTTTTAAACTTAAATAACCTACTGCTTTTTTATTTTTCGAGAATCCTGCAAAACCACCCAACGGGACATGTAAAGCATTGTTTCTTAACCTGTTAATATTCATTGTTCATTGTTAACAGTAGCTTACATCCGACTTTTACTAGGCACATCTGGAGACACGACCTTTTAAACAATCGACTGATTGAAACTTTATTCGTTTTGATAGTTCATGTACTAATGCAAAAATCGGCATTTCATCCACTATAGTGGTAGCAACAGCTTAGGCAACCTTTCTGGTCGATTTCCCCGTCTGGGCACCGTCTTATATTCTATCTCTTGCGCTTTTTTGTAACACCATTTGTTTTTCCACAAGTTTACCCTAGTTCTTTGTTTTCCTTCATAAACTTTCCGGCTGTTACTCCGGGGATAATGTTACTTACAATGGCTTGTTTTATCTTCATAATTGGTGAATTTCCTTTCTTTGTTTTCACTTTTGTAACCGAAACGGTTTTGAATGACCGATGGAGGCTTCTACTAGGGTGGAGATTATCCTTGGGGACCAAGTATCACCATCTTTAGGCCGAATACAGTCACCACGTGACTGAACTATTCTAACAGTTATCATTGCAGTCTTCGGTGTGTATTCCACTCCTTTAAATATTAGCGCTATTGCACAGAATGGGGCGTCTGTCCCACTTATCTGTTCGTCTGTATCGCTTCTGGTAGACAAATCACGTGTTTATGAGAACCAATAATATGTGCATAACTTTCCTTACTTTTATGTTATACTGGACACGACTAGTGTTACTATACCTTTCAAACACTGGGTGCGTAACTCTTCATGGTGGCAAATGCTTATTCATTGCATCAAGACAAGAATCTTCCTTGTTGATGTTGCAAAGATAACGCTCTCTTTTGCTTACCATTGTCTACAAAACACTGTTTATTTCCGGCGAAGTCTGGATGACCTGATTCTACTGTTGATCATTTAGTGTTTGGCATACTTGAGCTATATAGCCACTTGAAGGCAACAGTAGTACGTCGGCACCTTGTACCGACACTACGCCGCCACGCGACCACCAACAGTTGCGCGTGGGTTGAGTATGCCACGATGCCGTACGCAACTGCGCGGATTCCAACCGGTGATCTCCGGATCACGACGCATGCACGTAATCCTTTCGGCCGACTGCCTACTTGTTTGTCGATACTCCGCTCAGTTGGATGTTTCTTTCGCGTGTTCAGTCGCCTATAAGCGTACGTCATGTTCCTGTATTGCGGCTACAAATTGGCTGTGTCCGTTTTTGGAAATCCCATCTCTTGTGGTGCAGTTGGGAACCAACTTGATTCTTACCTTTACTCCCATTCCTACTACTGTAATCGTTTCGTCCTATAATTCCATCATTTTCCGACCTATCTTGATTCTTTTTATTATGGTGATTGATATAGGTTAAACCCCTCTAACGATTAAATATTTAGTCAACTTTCTGTTCTCATTTCTTATCATGTTTACTTCTTTTTAATCCACGTAGCAAGTCAAGAGAACCGCGAGCTATCCGTTCAGCCCTACTTGTTTACTTTCTCACTCCTCGCTGCAACGGAATCTCTTCCACTGTATATCATTTGTTTTCCACACAAAACATTTTGGGTAGGGTTGTTCGTCAAAGATATGCCATACAAATCTGTAGCGTCCGACTGTTCACCACTTTTTGGAGGGGTACGGTGTGACAACACTTTTTGTATTCATGAGCACAACCTCTTTTATTCCAAGCGATTGCCTGCTATTTTCCGCCCGTGTCCTTCGTCTTCAACTATCACTCTGGCTGTGCATCAGCGAAGTGTTTATTGCGTATCTACTCTTCGTGACCTCGGTTTAAAGAGAGACGGAGTCACTCAGCGCAATACCTGCGTTAGTTCTGCCGTTATAGTGTATTTTTTTCTCATTACCGGCTCGTAGCCTAGAGGTAACAAGCTTGTCTTGTAAACTGACGGCGCGGGTTCGATCCTTGAGATCTTCGCAGTATCCTTTGTCCACGTTCGACCGGTGATGGTTACGCGGTAGCAAAGTCTCGGTACTGTGTACCGGCGTACTATTGATGCCCCTATTTGTTCTCATTGGCGCCTACCACTTTTATATGTGTAACGGCTAACAAGTGCCTAGCCCTTTTGTGCTAATGTTCAGACCACTTTTTCCGATGGACTCATGACGCGTTGTGACCGTGGTGACCCCTCGATATAGCAACGCTGTCGGCTTAAGTTAATAACGCACCTTTTACATGTTTGTGCCCACAGAGAAAACCTCTCCCTCGGGGCAGTGCCCAATTCTCACTCAAGGATATCAGTCGGATCGACGAAATCATCAGTCAAGTCGAAGAAAGTGCGCCTTCCTCTGATTCACCCACACGGCCGAACTAGGCAGATTTGTATCTGACCCATTTTATTTTGCCTGTAATAGACTTTACCTTTTGAAAGAATTAAATTTGCAATTTGGCGTAAATCCTTTCTGTTGTGTCTATCGTAGTATGGTTTCCTGACTTGCACGTCTGCTCTCACGTTATCATGAGTAAGGAGTGGACCTGACGACACGAACTCCTTTCTATCCTGTGGTTATTGTGGGCAACGCAACTTAAACAAATAGTCTCACCGATTCTCCACATGAGGTCGCGGTACGCAAATTTACATCTATAGGAAAGTGGGCATCATGATTGGCTCACTGTTACGCGCTTTACAGTCAGTCGGTTAATATGCAAATTTATTTATCATTGCATCACTTTCCGTGTCTTGTCTGTCTGGAGTTTGTCTGTTTTGCAAATGGAATCTGAGAGCGTCAAATGAAATGGGGAGTCATTTATTGACATTTCATTTTGCTGAAACGAACCAGTAACTTGGCAATGGGATATTGCGCTGTGCACCATGCTGCGTCACACCGTAACTCTGTTCTCTTTCGCCCATTTTTTCATCACTCGTATAAAGTATTCCGTTTGTGGGTTGTTTGTGTTTCTCAGCAATTGGATCACTTCTCTCAGTCGTTCTTTTGGCTCCTGACCGTCGATTATTAGTTGAAACACTCCGACACACGCCCCTCTCTTGCCTTCCCAGTACTCCGGGTTGGGATCCAGTCGCTCCAATACATCGAACGCTTTTGCTGCATAGTAGAATTGTGCCATTTTGTAGCAGTCGTTCGCTATCAACTGGAGCAGACTGAACGACTCCGCTGAAGTTTCCTTCCTTAGATACAACTCCCAAGCAAGACGACCCTGTTTGTTCATGATGTAGCATCTAGCCAACCAGCTCAAATAGGTGTAATCTGACCTTAATCGCTCGGACTGAATTAACGAGAAAACCTCCTGGGCTTCTCTGTACGCCCCAGTCGCAGCTTTGGCCTGTGCATAATTGTAATTGAATGTGTCATCGTTGTAGAAGTAGCTTTTGATTGAATTCAGATAGACGAGCACATCTTCGAATTGTCGTAATAGAAAGAAACAGGATGCCATACATTGGCGTCCGGAAATAGTGTCGCATTCGCTTGCCGACCCACCAACCAGTTGAAAGTATTGTTGTGCTATTTTTAAATGTTCTCGGGACCCTTGATCTTGCCCCAGAATGGCGTTCACTACACTTTTAAGCACGTATTCTTGTGGTGTGGTTGGCTCAATTACCTTGGTCAACTCGTATGCCTCCTGTATCCCGTCGTTTTTCAAATGATAAATAATTAAATTCAGTCTTGCTTCTGGTAGCACATCCAAAAGTGGTGGTAATACCTGAAAAAAGCAAAAGGAAGAGGTATGAGTTTTCTAGTTGTGACCGAACCCACTGGGCATGCAATGTGAAACGTCTGCTTTATTCCTCAACTGTACGCTATTCAGACTACCACTTCGTCCTGGGTCTATAATTCAACAATCAAAATTTGATTTGCTCCAGTGTAGTCTAAGGTGCCACTTACTTTGGAAACCTCTCAGTTGCAATCAGCGCACCTGTCCACACCATTTCCAATCGTTTTCGATCGTCAGCATAACCATCTCTTGCGCTCCCTACTTGCACGTTTCCTCGCCTATCTGAACTAATGTAGAGTCTTCGACTATTTTCATGCATTCACATTCACCTCGCACTCCCACACAACTGGCCACTAGTTCAGGAACACTGCGTTTCACACTTTTCTGTAAACATTCCAGTGAAAAAGGCTAGGGTAGTAGTTTATTTCACTCATCCAACTGGTCTTCGTATTGGAGCGGGTTGTAAGATATTTTGGTGGTGCAAGTTAATCTATTGTAATACCCCGAATGGCACCTTTCAGCTATGTTGTTGCCAGACCAGAGCGTTCCTTCGTTTGGATGCTTGATGACATTGTCAACTGCTCTCCACTGCGACTGCTAACCTAACCCCCTTTTTATTCTACATGTGCTTACTTTCATGACTGCTTCCAGGTCCTCAATTGATAAATGATAGTTGGTTTCATGATCAGTTGTGCTGCTTCCAGCTTGTGATGATGCACAGGATAATTTATGCTGTTCTCTGAGGAATCTAAAGAATTCGAGACCATGCACTCTCCCATTGTTATTTCGCTCACGGATGTGGTTTTTAACTGCGGAATTATGAACGCACTGTACCAAATGGGGTCAGACGCGATCACTTTGTACTCGACACTAAATATGGCTCAGCATCCATTCAACTAAACAGGATTTTAGTGTTTTCGTCCCAGGAGCTGACAAGCTACATAGCAAAGCCTAGCCCGGAAACGCACCAGACGCGTTTCGCCCTATTGGGGCTCGTCGGTGCTGCGCATTCCCTCGGCCCCCTACAGGGGATCGAACCAATGTTCGCTAGCGGCAGATGCCAACTATCCAGCAGCTTAAGCCACTGAGCCTTGGGGGACGTTGGCTGGGCTACATAATTTGCTGGCTAACTGAGATATAGCACGACCGATCTTCCAATGCCACTTAGGTTACTACCGAGATTCGTTGAATCACCACACTGGATTATCTGGAAGTGTTGTGTTGCTTTGAACGCGTTCAGAACTAGATAAATTCATTTGTTGAATATCTCAATCGAACAGGGACACTTCGTTTGATTAGCGACAACAGCAGATTTTCCCAGCAAATTATAAATTACCAGACCTGGTAGACCTTTATGACAAGAAAGGGGATTATGTACAGGCCCCACAAAGTATCTTCTAAGCCCAAAGTAGTTGGTCCACCACTCATTTAACCAGGTTGTCGAAAGTCATTGCAAGGCATCAGTTAATTAGACAGCAGTTGTCTTTAGTCCATTGCAAGAACTACTCGACTTACCTGAAGAGCCCCCTCGCCGTTACGGAAGACAACCAAATTGTGTTTTATCAAATCTTGTGCGTAGGTGAAAGATGGTGAAGCCATTTCTTGTAATGCTTTAAGCTCAGCTTCCGCGGCCTTTCCATTGTAGAGCCGAAAATTGATACATGCCTTCAGATTGATGGCAGTGGCGCTATCCGGATATTTCTGTAGGTACATACTCAACACTTCTTGGGAAATATCGAAATAATCAATTTTGTAGTAGCATAGAGCGATGTTCACATTGAGAGCTAAGAATTCGCGATTATCCAACAAGATACGTTTGTAAATGTCAATTGCCTCTTGGTGATGGCTCCGAAGGCAGTGTACAGATGCCAAAGATAACTGATCCTCCAATACATCGGCCAGGGAATTATGATAATTCAACAGAAGCCGCTCATCGTTAAATTTTTGTGCTAGATGAAACAACAGCCTGTTTTGCAAGCGACATATTGGACCTTCTTTTGCCGTCTGCCTTGCCTCATCATACATTCCAAGAAAGAAGTAACAGCAGGCCAGATAAATGGGCACTTCTGACGGGGCGTCCTTAACATCTAGAAGTTTTTTGTACTCTTCTGCTGCCTTTTTGTAGTCTCCCAAATGAAACGCGCAATATGCGATCCACAGATCGTTTTCTGTCTTCTGTGTTCCACAGCTGCGTTCAAATTCCAACAGTGTCAGCGCTCCTGTATAGTCCCTGAGGGTAAGAAACTCTTCCAGGGTCGGTATTTCTTTTTTGAACGAAGCTGGCGGCAGGGTAACCCCAATTGATTTCTGATTGGCAGGCTTAGTACGAGACAGGATCATGATTCACTTTCACTGTGCTTTATTTACAAGCTTCTTTTCAGCGTGGAGCTGTGAAAAGTATGAGATTCGTGTTTTTACATGACCTAAACATACACTTCTCGTAATGTTCTGTTTAACTAAATGTACTACACGTTTCGGGCGCATTCGAATTGGATCTGTGCTTATTTTTGTTTATTGGTTGACAGTATACGATCTGATTGACTTTCCGACTTATCCATTGGTCGGATGCTTTTCTACCGTAATCCTCTGATATTGGAACCTAAGTTTGCATTCGTTTGACACAGCTGAGGGCAACAGAAGACAAGAGTACTTTGACGGCACCGTAATCCACTATAGCGAATGTCTATCGCACTCAATTTGTCCTTCAACGAAACTGATTTAGACAGCACCATAATCTATCTGAAGAATGAAGGTGATTAACTTACTTTACGGCATAATTCATAGCCTTGTACTCTGTTCACGTTTGAATGAATTACGGAATGATTATCTTCACCAATTCGAAAATTCCTATTTAATAACTTGAATCAACAGAGTGACAATTGCTGATTGAAGAATTCATTTGGTAACTCATCAGATTTCTACTTTTGCATATTAGGGGTTACGTGTTAAATATGTCCACTTTTGTTGAATATTGATCAGGATGTTAGATTCAACAGCCAGATCTATAAAGCACGCCGTCAGTGAAAGTTCTTCATCTGTAACCTTCAGTGACAGGATGATTTCTCGATTTTGATGTTGAATCCTTCATCCTAATCAATATTTAACCAAACTCGGCACATTTAGCATGTAAACGTGAACGTACGTGCTAATCGCTCACTTGTGCACACGTGCTTTTTTCACTGTGGCTCAGCGGCATTTTTGTCGCGCACCTTTGGATCTACACTATTCGTCGTGCTTTTAAAAGCTCCATCTTGTAATACCATTTTCTCGAGTATACTCCAGTGCATTCTACATTTACCCTGAATTATAAATTCCCGGCAGTGTTTCGCCTATATCCAAGCACCAAAGGTTGCGTAACTCCATCCATCGTAGACATTGTTTGGTCTCACTCGCTAGACCATTTCAACGGTTTTCGAACGAACTCTCACACTTTAAAATCCATCATTGCTTGGAGCAGCTACCTGGTGCCATCCATAGGCCTAATCACGAAAATTCTCAATCACACCCTCCTGTAGTCTGCCCCACGTTCACACTCACACATTCGACTGGTACACCAGTGAGGACAGTCTGCAAGCACACTACTGCAATGTGAACATTGTGACCTTGTCGTTGACGTCAGTAACAGAACAGCTTTTTACCATAGAGTGTGAGTCATTCAAACGGTTCTTAACATTTGCTCAACAAGCGCGATGCTCAGTGTGCCACAGTCTAATGACCTATGTGGATCATGTTCCAAACTTGTTAAGGGGGGCATTCCTTGCCGTAACTGTTGCAAGATTTTCCATGCGAGATGCCTCCGAGTTAAATCTAATCAGGCCAAGTTATTAAACAGACCAGATTCTCTATGGTTCTGCGTGGAATGCACATCCATCCCACTGATAAAAGCGTGCTCCTATTGTTTCAAGAGGATGACCAGCTAATAACAAAGTTTGAGGAAATAGTGACCACAAAAATCACCAAGGTTGAGATAAGCATAGCGGACCGTGCAACCGATGCCACTCCAGTAAGTGCTGCTCCTATCCTGAAAAGAATTGCTTATACACCGTAAGCAAAACGGCACCAAGAGCCCAGAAAATGAACTGCTGTTCCAATACCACACGTAGCTCACATTTGACTAATGCGGTTCCCAGTTCGATCGGAGTAACTACACGTGTGGTTACTTCCAATCTCCTGACGGAGTGCGTAGGGAAAGAGTAAGCCGGCACTAGCGAAAGTTAAGTTACGGTTGCTTCCAAGAGGAGCCGTCATTTAAAATTAACATCATCCCCTACTGGATCGGAAACTGAGGAACGTAGCGGAGTTCTTCTGGTGCAAGCACCACCGGTTTCCTGCGGTACATCTCCGAGTATTTCAATCACTAGCCGCGACATGTCGAAAGGTGTAAGGAAACAGCTACCTCTACCCAGTTTATTGTTCTCCAATACCCCAAACTCAAAGTTGGCATCAATAAGAGGCAGGCAGTTGGATGACCTCAACCAGTGGGACGTTATTAGTAATCTAATCGGAGTTGTACTGAGACCTGTACACATGCTTATTATGCGGTACCCCAGCTATAAGCATTACGGAGAGCCAAGACTTCTGCGCGTTATGCTGAACTCTCACTGAAGTAGAATCAGTACTACTGTCGACAGGTAGTCTCAGAAATGTTCACTTCTCTATCCGTATCTTTCCAGACATCCCATGGGGCGAGCGTTATCAAGTTAATCGCACCTTAGAACACTATGGGAAGGAAACTTTAACCAGAACCATTCTTCTTCACGGGGTTCCTGAAACTGAAGCATGTAATGAGCATGAAATAATAACCCATGATAAAGAACAATCGTGTGATATTCGTGAAACACTGCTTAGATTATATGCTAGCGAAATCAGTATCACGGCAGCGTACCTCACCGAACTACAAAGAAAGTGGCCCGAGAGTGTTGAAGGTGGTCCTACAGTCAAAACATATAGTAGCCCTGCTGCTAAAATCTGGTACGTTTTCGTTGCAGACTACTATCTGAGCTTCGGCTGAAGATACTCGGCGATATTCCCTTTAGAGATGATGTCACTTAACGTACCCAAGACAATGGGGTTTATAAAAGCACAATGCGTCAGTAGTATGTCTAATGAGCCTATATAACCTGTCGAAGATGACACTGACCACACACCTTACACTATACGTAGAAGATTAGACATGGAACTAACTACGCGGACGATGAATAAGAACACACCGAAAAAACTATTAGTCATCGGCCACCTACTGGTCAGCGAAACTTCACTTATGAGTTGCACAACCTTCGAAACATTGTTTAAATCTGGGAAACTTTCATGTATGTACACTAACGCCCAAGGGCTCCTCAGTAAACTTACTGAACTTCGGCAACGTCAGGTTGCGAATGCTTTAGACCTAACTTCTACTACCGAAACTTGGTTGCACCAAGAGGTGTCTGATGCTGAGGTTGAGATAGTAGGAATGTCACTCATCCGGAACGACCGCCCCAGCAGAGGAGGTGGGGTGCTACTGTAATACCGCAGCGACCTGCAATGTGCAGTAGTTGATAATGTGAAAACTCACGTTAACGACTCACTCTGTTGCAGTCTCAGACTAAGACACGATGACGCATGTCTCCTAGATGTCGTTTACCGCCCCCCAACGTCCACTTCGGAAATGGATTTCCGCTTGGTACGTGTCCTGAACAGAGTAATACGCACTAGGTAAAGCCACATTCTCCTCTCCGCGGACTTCAATCTACACGATCTGGAGGTGTCGGCATCACCCAGTGAAAATTTCAAAGCGAACTTGCATGAACTAGGTATAAGCATGTCAACATTCTTCGTAAAGTGAAACGTAGCATCGCTCCACTTTTCACGACAGGCGGTAGAGTACAAGGCGCCGAAAAGGCAGCCATTTCCCTGCGGCTACAATACGTCCTAATTTTCGAACTCGCAGCCTCTACCTGTCCCATAACGCCGTACACATTACCGATTCCATTGTTTACCCATAATTTTTAACCCATCAATTATGTTAAGGAAGTTACTCTCACTGCGCGATCATAGGTCTCCGGCAGCAGACATCATCCGCCCGAAAGCACTGGAGGCTGCGGCCACCACGCTAGCTGAACCACTGTCACAGTTTTTTGAGAGGTGCTTCAATGAACAGCAAGTCCACTATGTGGAAACGTGGCATTATCACTTCAATTTTTAAAGGCGGTAGCCGTTCGGTGTTTGCAAACTATTGCCCAGTGACTCTCCTACTTGTGCTCACGTAGGTAATGGAAGCGGTCGTAGCTGTGGCTTTAATGCACTACCTGAAAAAATGCAACATCTTGGCACCGGAGCAGCATGGCTTCCGTCAACACCGGTCATGCACCACGAACCTTCTGATTGCACGAGATAGTTGGACGGAAGTGGCTGATGATGGGGTCGGAGCTGACGTCATCTATCTGGACTTCTCTAAAGCTTTCGACCTTCTGGATCACCGCATCCTACTTCACCGGTTACAGCGCCACGGAATCGGAGATCCTGTGCTTGGTTGGATTGGCAATTTTCTTCACAAACGGAAGCTTCAAGTGCGTGTTAGGGGATCACTCTTTAACCCGATTGAGGTGGAATGTGGTGTCCAACAGTACTCAGTGCTTGGACGGCGCTTATTACTGGTGTTTATGAACGGCCTGGTAGGAGTTATCTCCTCAAGTTTCCTGTTTTTCGCGGATGACGTCAAGATATGGCGGGCGATTAGTAACAGTGAAGGTCACGATCTACTCCAACATGATCTAGATTGCATTTATGCATGGTTAGAGAGAAACGTGCTTCAGTTGAACATAGCTAAGTGCAAGGTGATACATCTGCACAACCAGCCGGTGGGCGTTTACAAGCTTAGAGACCACATTTTGCAGATGTCCTCTCTGGAGCGTGATCTAGGTGTACTGGTACAGGAAGATCTCGGATGCTCATAACGAGATGTGGCGTCGAAAACCGGCAATCAACACTTTTGCCTTCGCAGAGCGTTCGGTCGGTTTGAACCCTCAATCTTCCCCCAAATACTTAACGCCTACGTTCGACCGCACGTGGAATATGTTTTCCAAGCGTGGCAGAAACAGGATCTCGTTGCTCTCGAGACTCCTCAACGAAGGGCAATCAAGACCGTCAGGGGCCTCTTTCATCTGTCCTATCAACTTAGACTGAAATCTCTTAGAATGTACAGCACTCGATATCGGCGTTTGCGGAGGATCTTATAATGGTTTACCACATTCTGAAGAATCCCAACCACATTTGCCGTCCACTTCTGGAATTGAACTGCAACACTAACCTAAGAGGTCATCTTCTGAAACTGATAATACAGTATAACTGGCTTGAATGTCGCGCAACTTTCCTCTCCCTCCGCGTGCGCCAGCCTTGGAACGCCCTCT